CCTGAGGGTGGGGAGCCTGGGGAGCCAGGTGTGGGGCTATCATCCACCAGGCCCAGCTCCCTGTGCAGAGTGCGGTGCCGGACCACACCCAGCACCCTCTCCCGCTTCTCTCTCGCCGCTCGGAGCTTGGTGATGCTCAGCTTCAGGTCAAGCGGCTCGTCCAAGGAGTGCATGGTGATGGGGTGCTGGCGTTGGAGGGGATAGCAGGCAGAAGGGGACACCCAGCTGATCTTTAGGCAGGAACCTGGGGAAGGACAGAAGCTGTACTGTGACTCTGACCCCAGGCTCCTCCTCAAGCTATACCCATAAAAGCCCAAATGAGTAGAGAGGGAGCAATCTGGACCCTAGGTTCTTACGGAAAGAACCAACCACCTATTCAGAGGCTCCACGCCCACTTCCTCCAAGTTTTGGGGGAGACTCAAGGCCTCCATTCTGCCATGAATGCTGAATTTTAGAGGTACTGCCTCAGGTCAAAGAGAAGTGGCGGAACTACGAGACTCAAGGACAGACCTCTGACCAGTCATTTCATTTTTTTTTTTTTCTGGTGATGCTGGGAATTGAACCCAGGACCTTATACATGCGAGGCAAGCACACTACCATCTGAGCTATATTCCTAGCCCCCCCACACACCCCCGCAGTCATTTCTTTGAGATGGGGAGCCTGCCTGGTCTGGGTCTGAAGACCTAGAAGCAGGCTGTGGGCAAGGAGTGTCCTCAAGGTGCCAGTTGATATTCCTCAGCAATCAAATGCGAGTGGCCCCTCTGTGCCCACCCTTGTCTATTCTCAGCAAGTAGCTCTGTCACCTCCAAGGGAGCCCAGCCTGCTGATAGGGAAGTCTCAGGCAAGTAATGCAGAGTTTGGCCTCAAGGAACTGGGGACACTTCCCAGGTGGGGCCAGGCGAAGCATCCGCAAGCCAACAGGAGCCACAGGGCTCTGGGCTGCCAGCAGGGGGCAGATGGGGACTGTGGTCAGGCTGGCCAGAGCTGGGCTGGTGGAGTAGACCAGCTCAGTACATAAAAACCACATACAGTAAGGTGATAACGCTCTTCTATTATATGTCTTATGCTATAATTTTCATATAATTTCTCATTGGTGTAATTTTCACATAAATGGACTCAGGATGCTCTGACCAAGCTGTCAGCTCATCCCTCCAAGTTCAACACTTCATTCTCCCAGCAGCAGTCTTTACACACAGAGAAAACACTCCCACTGTTTCCTGGCCTTTGTTCATGAAGACTGGTGCACCCTGTAAATCTCTACTAACACGAGATCCTGTCACTCGCTGTATTTAATACAAAAGGGTGGACATGGTGGGTGGGCCGTTACCTGGAAAATTGCACCCAAATTTGTGTCCTGGGGGGGGGGGCCAGGATGGTGGTGCATATAGGGATTCAGAGCTGCTGGAACATTCTCAGGAATAGGACAGGGATGACAACCCCCACGTCCCCTCTCATCCCTTCTCTAGACCAAGGCCCCTTGGCAACTTCACCCACTCGATGCAGTTCATCCTTCCCCTCTACCTCCTACAAATTCAAAGCTTATGCAGAGACCTCCCCAAGCACAAAGGAAATAGTCCCTTCCTTCACTTGAGACCCCCTGTTTGCTGGGACAAATCCCCAGATCCTACAATATATGCATGGCTAACATGGAGTCTCTGAGCATAGAGAGGTTGTCCACCACTCCCAGGCCTGCATCATCAGAGCATGGGTGGGCCACTCTTGGCTTCAAGACCCAGGTTTGTGACTTGTCCCTGTTGGAGCTGTCAGATCTATGTGCGCCACATACCCCCTACCATACACAGATCAAGCATTCCCAACAATATAAAGGAGGTGGGACCAGAGCACCACTCTTCTCCTCGGGAGGCCTAGATCCTAGCTTGCAGGTAGGTAGGTGGCAGTGATGGATGACCTTGGGTCCCCTCCTCCATTTCCCTGAGCAGGGAGCTGTCCTCTGCCTGACCCCCACCTCCCTAGTTATGTCTCTGTCTGTGTCTGCCTGTCCTTCCACCTGTTTATTTTTAGACACAGGCCCAGTCCAACCTCCCCAAAGCTCCTCTGTGCTGAGAGCCTGGAAGGAGAGGAAGGAAGTAAATATTTATGCTGATTAAGAATTCAGGAGCCAGGAAGGGCTGGTGGCCTGGTCCCTCTGCTGGCCGAGGGCCACAGGCCTCCTCATACCCCCTGTCCTCACCTCCACCCCAACCCTTCCAAAGGAGGGAACCACAGGCATAATGTTTGGGGAGCTGGGAATCCAAGTTGATGCTGACTCTCGCTGGCAATGATGCCCAAGCAACATCTTGTGGCACCTGCCCCACTGTCCCCTCCACCCCTCCCAGGGAGCTGTGGGAGGAGCCATGGCCCTGGGTCACCTTGTTCTTTGAACCTGCCCTAAAACTGGTTCCCTGTCTCAAAACTGGGGAGGTCCCAAGAAAAGCCATCTCTATAGGGGGGCACAGTTCCCCCATCAGCAGGCCCAGCCCCCCAGCCCCCCCCCCATCCTGGTGCTGAGTTCTACCCAGGGAGGCAAGGGCTCATTCCTACGGAAGCCAGAACTCAGCCCAGGCACCACCTCCTGCTCCTGGGAAAGGAAGGAGTCATCCCAAAGCCCTCACTTCCTAGCAATCCCATCCAAGAGGAGCCTGCCTAGAATTTTCCCTCCGCAGGGACCTACCCCCTAGGGAGATGGCCTGTAACCCCACTCCTGCTCTGATCTTGGCCAACCTCAAAGTGTTCCCCCACCCCCATCCACAGGCACCGGCTTGGCTCTGCTCTTTGTTCTGGGGATGGATGAAAAGGGCAGGAAGGAGAGCCTGGTTCCTGCTCTCTTTAATGCCTTAGTCCCATCACCTCCTGCACTGGCCACACCGTCACCTGATTTAAGGCATTGGGGGGGCGGGGCGCGATGACCCTCGGAAGGGCGGAGCGCCGCCTGCCTTGCTCAGAGAAGACGAGCCTAGCCAGCGGTGGACCCAGTGCCGCTTTGTCCGCAAGGTCTCTCCCTCGCGGTGGAGCGGTCCCGAGGCAGGAGCCCATCCCTCTCGGACAGGTGGCGAGGTGCAGGGCCTGATGTGGCGGGGTGGAGCGTGCCGACCCGCAGGTCACCTCCCTCCCGCGG